ATACGGTTCGTTGTCTTCCAATCTTTCAAGTTTCGAAGGCTCATAATTCCGCGAAGCATGGAAGAAATGGGTATTGACCGGGTATGATGGACTCGCGCTCACCGATCGCGAGATAGAGAGCGGTACGAGCGCCAAAAACCTGATCAATGGTCTAATGGAGAAGAGTGGGCGCTGGTATTGGGCAACCGAGTCTATTCATGCAGGTGGTATTGATGCTTGGACGCTGAGAATGTTGGCCTCGAAGTCCTCGAGATGTGTAACGCCTTCGCTACCAGCACGGGTCGATTCCCCTCTTATTCTGCCATCTCCACTCCAGGTTGCTAAACCTACAGCACGAAAACGACCCGGCTGCGTTTTGGAAAAGGAAGGTGCCTCGAAAAGGGCGCGAAAAACAAAACTGGTCGGCATGGACAAGGTGGTAAAAAAAGGCACTGCTGAAGCCTCATCCGTCAAGTTCAAGGTTCGTGACGATAGCCCCATAGATAGTACAACGAGGATAAACGTAGGGCGTCTTCTTCAATTTGATTATCCGCTGAAGTCTCAACGACGTCTATTGGCAGCCCATCTCGTCCACCCCTCCTCCATCAGGCAAACAGCGGTCACTTTTGGCGATACATACCTCCCATACGACTCGAAAAGAGCCACCCATTCTAATCCTTAGGCCGGAAGAGCTCGGCGGCGAGCAGGTGCGTTTTTATTCAAATTGAGTCTGCTTGCTCAGTCCGCCTGATTGACGATAGGGTTCTTCCAAGTCTTCACTCACAAAATCACCCAAAAAAACCTTATCCTCTGCGAGTACGAAAGCTGCTGCTCCCAATGAGACGAAACCTTCGACAGCTGCGAACTCAAAGCCACGGATTACTTTGAGGCTGAAACCGCCAGTACCTCCCTCTACGTCTTCCCAATTGTCAGCGACGGAGGTGAAAGAAATAAAAGAGACGCTGCATAGGGTCGAGTCGCTCGTGAAGGAGCATAAGAGTAAAGGAATGGAGAGAAGCATTGGAGGTTTGGAGAAGCGCATGGCACGTATTGAGACTCGACTGGGACTGAGTGAGGGGTCCTTTGCTGCAAGCGAAAGGAATGTAACAGCAGTACTGGAGAGGATTGAGGGGCAACTGGTCGGATTACGAGAGGAATTGAAACGAGTCAGTGCAGGGTCGAAAGGTAGCTCCGGTGATCTTCCAAATTCACAGAGACACACGAGCCACCACGGTGGGGGGTCCGAACTCGAAGGCCCCCCAGCTTTATCTTCACACTATCCATCATCTTCCACATTCACCGGCATGCACGCTGTTCCATCCTCGCATGCTCCCCCTCCGCTACTCTCGTACATTCATCCATTGGCACATCTTCTTGGAGAACCCACGAATGTCGAGGAGGGAGTTTCAACTATGGTCGCCACTCGCATCAACTACCCATCCGAAGTCACAGGCAACCCACAGCCATCACCAAGCACGCCCAGAGCTCAGCCCTCGGCCCCCCCTCGCCACTTGTCACCGTCCGACGACATCGAAGATATCAAGCCCGTGATTCTCGACGGGGAGGCCTTTCTTCCATCCATCAGGGATAACGAGGGAATGGTATCGGTATCCGCGTTCTCCGGACCTGCGAGAAGACAGAGGAAGTTGATGAAACTTAGCATGGGTACCAATGGGACGGGTGAGTAAGTAGAGGCGCCAATAGCGCCACCAGAGCTGTTTTTTCGCCCTGTGTAACAGCAATCGTCCGAATTGCGTGCTTCTCATATTTCACTACCCCTTCTTTGAACGTACAGGCGAGTCGTGACATTGGTATTTTGCTGTTATTCGTATTATCCTTGAGCCTAGATCATTGCTCCGTTGTAATCACATACTTTGGTAAGCTTTCTGCTCCGGAAGACCGCATCATCTGTAGCCGTTGCTCTAGAAGCTCTCAAGGACCCTGCCTCGCGATTAAACCCTTGAATCCTCACTCGGATCGCAACATGAACCTCTTCCCATTTGCATCGTTTGCGCGATGACTCGCACCCCCCTTTTTTGGCAGTAATCGAGCTCATTTTCACTTGCGGATTCCGGGAAACATTCTGATGTTGAGCCTTACAACAGCCCAATGGTTCGAGAGTCTTGTCGTCAGTTTTATTCTCATTGAATGATAGCCCGGCCTAGACTCTTCGTGAATCAATTTTGTGCTCTCGCTCCTCTGGCACTCAAGTCCTTTTAAGGTACGTATTTACTCTCGCAGTAAACAGCGCTCCTCACTTCATCTTGATTGAGTACTCGCGCTGTGCAGAAAGTCAATGTTATTCTCGATATGTCGAAATTCAAACATTCGCCTGGCGCCGCAATTTCTACATGAGCGATTTCAGGTGCGAGTTACAGTGACGCAACACACGCTGTACGTTTACGTCGTCTGCGTCAGGACATCCACCAAATTTAGAACTTCTCGGGGAGGTAGTTTGTCCTCTCCTTATTCATCCTGATCATAACTGATCCCTGGTAACAGCAACACCTTGGAGTTGCGGAGTGGTTTTACCAGCCTCATGTTTTCTCACTGTTAAAGCCGCCGCTCCACTTCAATATGACGAACGCAACGTTGAAATTCCGAGTACGGAAAGACAAGGGACAGTACGAAAGACACACCCCATGTCGTTACTCTCAGAAACATATAAAAACGGTCGTCTTTCTCCTCTTTTCCCTCACTCAAATCTTCTTTGCTTTCGAGATGTTCAACAAGCTCTTCACCCTCGCTGCTCTCACCACCCTTGCGGTCGCCACACCCACGAACCTCTCTGCTCGTGCGGACTGCACTACTGGTCCCATCCAGTGCTGCAATACCGTTACCACAGCGAAGGACCCGGTCGTTACACCTATCCTCGCCGCAATCGGTGTCGTTCTCCAAGATCTCAATGTTGGCGTAGGCTTGACCTGCAGTCCCGTCACCGTCATTGGTGGAGGCAACGGCGGGTGGTAAGTTGTATTGACCATCATCTGGAATTCCCCCTCGTGACTGTCTTTGTATTCTTTACAGCAACGCTAGCCCAGTTTGCTGCACTGATAACTCTCACGGTAGCCTTTCATCATGTTTCATGATTTACGACGCATCATCGAACTGATTTTGTTTGTTTAGGCACCCTCATTTCGATTGGCTGCGTTCCCGTCAGTCTCTAAGAGAGTGGCCGGGATCTAAGCGCAGGCCGTCCGTCAGACTTCGACTGTTGTCTTGTACGCTGTAGACCTTGGTCGTAGTAGTCTCGCTCTCGCGTTTTGGACTTGCTTCTGTACCCATATGAATTGAATCGAATTGGTCATTTTGACGCATTGTCTTAAACCTTCAACCGAGTTGAGGGTCGCTCAAGTCCCGACTCGGGTACAAATAAGTAAACTTGTGGCGCCAGTGGCTTGTTTTGCCTCTCGTCGTTGTACCCGTAAACCCTCCTCCAATTTTCACCGAGCTCATGATATCCTTTCGTTCAACCTGAATCTATTGTGACGTTCTCACGATGTCAAACTGGTTGTATAAGGAATGCTCCATGCTGAGGAGGCATGTATGTTATGTTCTACGAGCGAGTGTCCTGCCTCGGCCTAGGCCTTTCCGGAGTCTCGATCTCACCGACACTTCGCCCAGGCGGCTTCCCTGGTCCTAGAGTTCGAGAATGCTCAGTGAATTCAGCAGGAGATGCGTCATCCTCCTACTATGACCATCAACTACGTCGGTAGCTAACTATATAGCCACGGCTGAAGCGCTGATCAGTGATCACAACTTGCCGCACGGTATTGTTCCTGCCAGGTCATAGACTCATATACATAACTTCGTACCTTTAGATGATATCATTGTCCCATACAGACCTTCCTTTCTCCCTTTCTCCCTCTTGTGCGTTGCGTAGGAGGGATCTTCAAATGTTCCAGTAACCTTTTCCTTCCGATTCGCCTATGTCTCTCTGAAGTTTACAAGAAGCGGCCAGGGTCCTTCGTTCCTCAAAGTCAATTGGCAACGCTCGGATGCTCAAGCGCTCCTCGCCGACATCATTGACATTGATATAAACTATGAAACATATGTCCGAAACGCCTTTTGATTGAAGGTCCAGACGTCAAAGCCTACCGTAACAATGAACATGATCGCTCTCACAGTCCCCACCTTTTAATTACTATGATTTTGGTACTTACTTCTCACTGGTGTGTCACAGCTCCACTCGAACCACCACAACGTTTCAACCCGCAGCATATGACGGAAATAACATGTACCTTTCTCCGCCAAAAAACAGTATAAAAGGGCCTCAAAATCTGCTCGAATTCCTCACTCGAACACTCCTGCAGTTGTCTGTTTAAGCTCTCTCACAATCATCATGATGTTCAACAAGCTCTTCACTCTCGCCGCCTTCACCACCCTTGCGGTCGCCACACCCACGGGTCTCTCTGCTCGTGCAGACTGCACTACTGGACCTATCCAGTGCTGCAACACTGTTACTACGGCGAAGGACCCCGTAGTGACTCCCATCCTCGCCCTCATCGGCGTCGTCCTTCAGGACCTCAACGTCGATGTCGGTTTGACCTGCAGCGCCATCACCGTCGTCGGTGGAGGCAATGGAGGATGGTAAGTAATCTCTACAACCTCAAAATGTGTTGTATGGTGTCATTTTCCTTTTCATACAGCTCCGCCAACCCTGTTTGTTGCTCTGACAACTCCCACGGTAACCTTTCTTTTGCGCTAAAGTGACCCGCAACTCTGAACTGATCTCCTCGTTATGAATGCAGGTGGCCTCATCTCTATTGGCTGTGTTCCCGTCAGCCTCTGAGCTCAACAAGATCATGCTAAGCCTTTCGCCCCGCGTCGGAATGTCGAGCGTCCCCTGAACGCGTGGTCACAACCGCGTTTCGATAGTAACCTGAGGGTGAAAGACTTGGATATGGACAATGTGGAATGTGTATAATGCTTTGTATGGCTTTCAGACACGTCAAGCACCAAATGAGAATATGTTTGTGACTTCTCTATCCTAAAAGATCAAGGCGGGAACAAAAGAAAGTAGCCCACCGCGAGGGTCGAACTCGCAGCCTTCAGATTCAGTGAGATGCCCGCTTGCGGACTCGTTAAGAGTCTGACGCTCTATCCGATTGAGCTAGGCGGGCAGATATTGAACTTTTGATCGATTGGTACTTGACTCCACCATGACAGCTGTGGGAACGTCTAGAGCAAGGACCCTTTAGAGTCCGGTAAGTCTCAACTCCAGCTTAACTTCAACCAATTTCTCATTCCCGACACGACTTCGCGACTCTGAGTCACGAAAATTTCCGAAGTTGGATTTTCGGACAAACTATCTTCGTCAAGTACCCATGTTTTGCACATAAAATCGTGTATAATCTGAAACTTGTCCAAAACTCATAAATATCATGTTTTCAACTACAGGTCCGAATTCCGAACCTCCGTCGATAGACGCGATACCCGATAGGGTTACCTGAACGCCTGGACCTTTGTTCGTCGACAACCGATCCATTTTTAGTACACGGAGCTTGAACACAACGACCAAGATTATCTTTGGTACCTAACCATCGACTCAAGATCCGGGAATAAACAGTGAAGAAGCGACGAGAACGTTCTGCCTCCGCATCGACGACGGCGTTCAAAGATTTTTATTCAGCCACCGCCACTAATTAGTCTATCAGTCGAGGTCCAGGGTAAACCGTGGACTGTAGGCTTTCCCTCTTGGGTCTTTCACTCGAGGAAAGCTTGACTGTACCGGGTAGTGGGCTCCGAAGGCCTGGAATCACGCTGGTAAGATACGTGTGATCGAACGGATATAGAACGTACGGCCGTGAGTCGCTGGACACTTTAGGAGAAATTTTACACAAGTTTGGAAGTCGAGTCGGGTGTACAACCCGCGAAAATAACCGTGGGTGGTTGTGGCGCGGCAGAAATGAAAGAAGGTAGAGGGGGCCATGGACAGCTGGAATGTAACTGTGTGGTGGCGGTAGGACTTACATCGTAGTCATCACCGTTAGTGTGTGACCCCATCGTATTTGCTGATCCCCGCACCGTGATGAGGAAACTTGAAAAACAGCCTGCGTCCCGAGCTTTGATCCTCTTCGAGTCGGGATTGGCGGCGACTTGCCTCGTCACACGACGGAAGGAATAGGTGGGAAATATTGGTAACTCAGACTGCGCGAGCTTCGCACTATGCCTGCCAGACTGCTTCGGAGTTCAGACTACGTCCGAGCATGTACATGAGCTTGTTGACAGTTGGAGCATCTTAAGGTCCCCGTTGGAACCCAGCGGGAGATGCAGCTTCTGAAGGAGAGACGACAGCCGCGAGAAACAACTTGCACGTTGCACGATTTTAGCCTCCTGAGTCCTGGGCCCTGGCGCGAACTCAATGATACTGCCCTCAAGAGGCTGTAGCAGGAATCCCAGTGGGTACATGGTGTCGTTAACCCGCGCATTCGAACAAGCCAAGAATGAAATGCTCCCTTTCCACGGGCCGGGTCGGGACGCTGACCGACCCCACTTCAGAGTCCGAGAGTATCCACCTCACGACTTTTTACATGCCAAGCCCTCAGCTCCTGTGAGGATCCTCGTGATGTAATTCGTGGCGAGTCGGGGCCTGTTGCCATACTAAGGTTAGTAAGTACATGAGGAAGCGGGGAGGGAATGTCAATCCAGACGGGGATAAATACCAAGACAGAGATAAGAGACCTTATGCATGATCGCGGGTATGCCGGAGGCAGAAAATTCACTGCAGGGCTCCTTGGAGGAAGCATGAGCCACAGACACCGTTCTGAGGAACTTCGGCGGAAGCAGCAAGGAAGCAGAAACAGCTCAAGGGGCAGGCGCCTCTTGAGGGAAGTTAGCGCCCAGCGGCAAAGCAGCCGCCATGTGCCTACGTTACGTCACCCGCCGAAAAAGGGAAATTGCACGTGGGTGCAAGCACGTCTTTCGGTCCACAGCATACAACATGTTTTGTTACTTACTTCTTTGCTCATCGCCTTCATCGTCGACTCTGCTGCCACTGCTCAAATCGAACGCACCTCCAAAGTGAACAGTAAACCTGTACCAATTTCTCCCGAATAGTGGAAAAAAGAGGCAATTTCTGCGGCCGGGGCACTTGAAAGGTGGAGCAATAGAGCACAGCTATCATTGTTGTATCAATCCCAAGGTGCGCCCTATTTCTTGCTTATCTCTGGCCACTAAGTGGGCGTATACTTATCTTCCAGTTCAGTAGGACGGCTATACATCAATAAATCGCGGGCACGCCACCTCGTAACAAACCATACAAGTGCAGAATTTCCTCAGAAATTGGCGGAATTAGAAAGAGCGTCCGGATTTGACTAGAATTGGATAGAAATTTGGAGACATGTCGCATAATAACAGCAAAGGGAACAAGAATAACAAGAACCGTGGTCACGGACAAGGCTATGATAAGGGCAGCGGGAACGGAAAAGGTGGAGGCGGCCAGGGCAACTCTGGCGGTAAACCGAGGAATTCCGGATCTGGTGCTGGCCACGGGCAGCAACACGCGAAGAACACGAATTATTCTTCGACTACTCATTACCAGCCGCAATCTCATTCGAATCAGAATAGTACAGGCAGCCGTACTAGTGGCAGTTACTCGTCTCACTCATCTCATTACTCTCAACAACATCACCAATCTCAACACTATAACTACTACGACCCTGGAAGCTACGGGACAGGTTCATCGCCCGGTTCAGGTTCAGCAGCTTCTATCATGACAGAAGACGAGGAAGATTGGGAAGATTATGTCAAGGGAGGATATCATCCGGTTTCTATTGGCGATGAGTTTAGGTGAGTGTATGGCTCTTTCTCAAGCACCATCAGAATCAGGAAGTTGAAACGTTTACTTTCGGCGAACAGCGAAGGCAGATACGTCGTCGTTAGAAAACTTGGATGGGGGCATTTCAGCACCGTGTGGCTGGCTCGGGACACAAAGTGAGCATTTTGGGTTCTTTTCGAGTTCTGCCTGGATCGTTCTTGTCTTTTTTTTTTGCTCGACCGGGGACCTTTTATAGGATATCCATTGCCGTTGGTTCCGCCTGTCATTCTCTTTTTCTCCTTTTTGTGCTGTAATCTGTCCTTGTGTTTCACGGTCGGGTCCTTGTTCGTCGCGACCGACACAGATCTCGTTACGGCTTAGGCTTTTGAATCCCGTCGCCGCTCAACGTACTTTTTTTTCACTTCAAATGTGACCACACCCCTGGCTCATTTCCTTATCGTGCACTTTCATGGTTTCCCTCCTTATCATCGGCAAGGGACCACAGGGGACCGTACTTATTACTCCGATCCCTTGGCTTTGCGGGGCCTCCAGCGGGTCCTTCCAACGCTTATCATGTTGACTTGTCGATCCCGGGACCGTCTGCCCGGCTGTCACCGTTCAATACCTCTTTTTCCCCCTTTGTCGCCCACTCCTTCCTTCCAGTTTGGTCCTGACTTGAATATTGCCTAGACATGACCGCCACGTCGCCCTCAAGGTCGTCAAATCAGCCCCTCGTTACACAGAGACGGCATTAGACGAGATCAAGGTAAGCCTTGGTCTGTCGCGTGCTGCTCGTTCTGCTCGTGTGACCGCCATTGACTGATGGCCATCCAACGCTAGCTTCTCCAACGCCTCATAACGTCGTCCACGCCGCCCACGCCGGACAATCCTGGGCCATCCCAGACTCATCCTGGTCGTTCGCATGTCATATCCTTCCTAGACCATTTTCGTCATAAAGGTCCCAACGGGACGCACGTCTGCATGGTTTTCGAGGTGTTGGGAGAGAATTTGTTGGGTTTGATTAGAAGATTCCAGGTAAGGCTCATCTTCTCCTACCTAGCCGTTCGTCGTTGACGATTCTGGTGGCTACGCAGACTCGAGGTGTACCAATGCCGCTGGTAAAACAGATCGCGAAGCAGGTACTGCTAGGGCTGGATTACATGCATCGGTGTTGTGGGGTCATTCATACTGGTGAGTTCAACGACTGTTCTGGCTCTGAGTGGGTCGCGTTGGAGAGTGTCAGCCCCCCAACGATCTCTCTTTTTTCTTTGGTTGGGCTTCGTCCTACTTCATCGTTCAACATTGCAACTCTGTCACGTTTTTGCCTTTGTGCGGCCCCTCGTTCTCTTTTGCGTCCTCTCCTTCATTCTTTCCCTTTTGCTGACTTTCGACTTTCCCTTCTCAGATCTCAAGCCTGAGAACGTCCTCATCTCCATCGACAACGTCGAAGACATCATCCGCGCCGAACTCGCCGCCAACCCACCCGTCTACCTCTCCTCTCAAGACCAGCACCACCCCACCGTCCCACAGAACAGCAAACTCACAGGCGTCCCGCCCTCCAAAGGCCGCGGCGGCAACCAAACTCCTCGTATAACAGGCAGTCAGCCGTTACCGAGCCCTAGCTCAAGTTATGGGAGTTTGAGGAGCTTGGTTACGGGGAGTTTGAGTAGTGCTAGTATAAGCGCGATGACGAGTGGGAGCGCGGGGACCAGTCCGACTTCGGGAGGGTTGGCACCTCCGACTGGAGGGATGGCAATTGATAAGTTTAGTTTTGGGATGACGCCTATTCCTCTTGCTACTTCGGGGAAAGGGACGGAGAAGGATGTTGCGGATGTTGCGGAGGGTGTTGGGGGAGTTTCGATACGGGGAGATAGTGCTAGTGGGAGCCGGGAAGGTGATAAGGGGAAGGGCAAAGAGACGGAGGATGAGGGGGAAGGGGAGGAGGGAATCATTTTCGGAAAGAAGAGTCAGTCTGCGTCGGGGAAAGGAAAGAGTTTGTTAACGCAGCAGGCACCAGAAAGGCGTGAGTGCTTTCGAACCTTCGTTACCTGGTCGCTTCTGAAGCTGACTCGGGTTTTATAGCCGCTGAAGCTCCTCAAGCCTCGCAGTCTGGGCAGTCACCAGCAGAAGTGGGATCGGAGACAGAATTTTACGACCTGGCGGAGAAGATTACGGTCAAGATTGCTGACTTGGGCAACGGTATGGGTGTCAGCCTTCCAGTCCACCATGTCATCTCGCTCATAGGTTTACTTTCGTAGCGACTTGGACCGAACACCACTTTACCGATGACATCCAAACTCGTCAATACCGATGCCTTGAGGTTATCCTCGGATCGAAATGGGGTACCAGCGCGGACGTATGGAG